CCCTGAATGATTCCCAGCACTGTCAAAAGGAGCTCAGGGCCTGAAGCGGGACACCCAGGACACGTTCTTACCCCCAACCCCACAAACTCTTGTTCTGGGACTTGTCCAGCTTATTACAAAGCCCTAAATATGCAAGATCCCTGTTGGTTGTATTTTGCTTGGCAGGTTCACAGCCCTGCCAGTCTCTGAGAGAGGTACAGGAACAAGGAGCAGCAGAAGGCTGAGGATCACCCTGTCCATTTGTGCCTCAATCAAAGCCTCAGAGTTCACCATTCAAAGGTGCTCTCAAATGAAAGGTGAAATAAAAGATTACTTCTAAGTAATTAAGCCTCTCTTTTCCTGACTTGCTATGAAATTTGTGGGACACTAACATGTCAGAAATATTGAGGGCAAATGTCTTATGTACAAGTCCAGAGGCAGAAAAATACAGAGTTTGTAATTAACGGCAATATTTTCTTCCTTGATCCCGCTGAAATAAATGGTCTGTGGTTTAGGTATGTCAGTGCCATAACGCAGGATATTCCTGGGAATTGGGTGCTCCATATGTCAGTGATGGAGTTATGGGGTGGCAGTGGCCATTTCATGGTCAAAGTTACAAAGGGTTTTTTCTTTATGGTCAACTCTCCTGTTTATACTCCAACAAAAAGCTGAAGAAATTCCTAAGTCAGACCTGGAGCCATGGTTGAAATTTTTCTATAAAATTGGAAAATTATTCAGCCAGAGACTTTCAAATGATGTCACCTCTGAAAAAACACAGCTCACAAGCAGAGACTGAGCCCTCCTGGGTTTTCTCACACAGGGGTAAACCTGGTTATGAGCAAAACTGACAAAATTATTGCCCCTCCCAAGTCTCTTCTCCACTAAAGCCCAGCTCTCCTTCTCCAGCCTTACCATTCCCATGGAGATGCTGGAACAATCCAGGAAAAAAGCATCTTACATATGTGCTATATTTTAATGTTTATGGTATGGCTTTTTGTATAATAGGAATAATCGCTATTGCTTTGTAGTACACTTACAACAAATAGCTTCTGAGATTGCTCAAACACTTTAGCTCCACTTCAGCTCTTAATCAAACTCAGCAGCTGTTTATTGCAATTACACCATAAAGCAATAGACATTATCCCTTAACTAACTGTCTTATTAATATAGGTAGTTACACAGCTACTTCATAGTTAGTCTTAAATAACTGCTTTTAATTATTTTATTAACATAAATAACCATCTCAATAAATTTAAATTAAATGCATATGTGAGAAAACGCAATTTAAAGCATTGCACAGAATTGCATCTGTTTACTAATGCTTAAATTGATGTCATTGTGTAATTCAATTAAAGTGGAACTTTAATTTATTTCAATTTTTGATGGCCATGAAACACCTAAGACACCAGAACTTCCTAAACATTGAAATGGGCACTCTCTCCTCTTGTGCTGCTGTATTTTCTTGGCAATATTAGTTTGCTGCCAGGCAAATGAGATTTCTCTTTACCCACAAAACTTACAATTTAATATCCCCATTTAATTGTGCTTTCTTCCCATTCCCAAAGCAACAGATGACTGGATTGCATTTTGCCTTTTGGTTCAGTTGTGCAACTCTGCTTTCAGTGGAGAACAGGATTTCACTTTCCTGTGCAATGCTGGATCCTCCATGCCTTATGCCATTTGTTCTGCTGGGATCAAGCTCTTTGCCTTCAGCTAAAGGGAAGGCAGACACTGCCTGACCTGGACTGAAATCCCCTTTTTCTTCCTTGGGGGGGCTGGTTTATTGTTCAGGGGGCTCATCCTACCCCAAAATCCCACACTGCAGAGGAAGCAGCACTTGCACAGCAGCTTTCATCCCCCAGTGCCACCATGGAATGTGCCTCTGGAAAGGGACCCCAGCCCAGATTAGTGCGTTCCATCCCTCAATCCCCAGAAGGCTCTGCCCAACACACTGGCCTATTCAGATTCTCTTTGGGGAATGAGACAAAAATTTCCTCTCCTTACTCTGGTTTAGATGCCTCCCCTGAAGGACAAATAGGAATCTGCTTGCTGGGGAGCAAGGAGAAAAGGAAAGGGACTCCCTTCCCCCCTCAGAGGGAACAGGTGATGGTAGAGAGTGCTGGGAAAAACTAAAAGTGGAAAGTGTAAGGCAAGAACAGGGTGAAAATGAGGCTGGAAAACAAGGATGCAAAAGGAGGGGAGGAGGTCTCACATACTTTCCTGCCAGCTCAAAACTTTTAATTCTGTAGCTGGTGTAGGGACCTGCCAAAGTGAACTGCTGCCTCTCATATCACAGCAAACCCCTCAAAAGTAACTGGGATGTATTGAGAAAAAGTGTTGAAGTCAGGAAAACATAAAGCAAAATTTCTCAGAGGGTTTTGATTGGGATCTCAGCAGCTTTATAACCTTCTAAACTGTAGAAACCAAGGATATTTCGCTCTTGGATGTCAGTCAATGCCAAAGATTTTACAGGAGAGCAATGAAGGCAAGAATTTGGTAAAATAATGGTGAGTATTGCTAAGTAGCAAAGTCCATCCCCTGTTCATCAGAGGACACAATCTCCCTTCAGGGAATCATTAAAGAATTTCAAATCAGGTTTCAATGCATTTCCATGCAGGTACACTCTTTGTCGGGAGAAAGGTTCCTCAGTGACACCAAACCTATGGAAATGGGGAATGTGGCTGGGAGAGCAAAGCTGAAAACAATACTTTATTGATTTTAATACTTCTATCCAAATGCACCAGGTAACATGAAGGAATAATTACAGGCTCCATCAGAGAGGGGTTGTGATCTGCAGACACTCCAAGCTCCCAAGGAGACGAGCTCTTAAAACTTTACAGACTCCACTGGGCAAAGACAGGTGACTCAGTACAAAGGGTTTTTACAGAAAAATGTAGAAACTAGAGTGAAAGCAGACATGTTTAAACTTCAGGTAACTGAGAGTGATCAGGGGTTGGATAATTGAAGTTCCAATGTATATTTGCCTACATTGTCGCTCACCTTTGAGCCCTACCTAGGCATCTTGACATTTATGTAGTCTGAAATCCTGAAAGCTCTGAGTTTAGACAACTAAATTGTTGCTTGTCAATTTAGCCTTGACTGAAAGACAGGTGTTTTGTTTCAGAGTAACACTCCTTTCAGACTCCTCTATTCCCAAGCTCACATTACTGAGCTAAGGAACTATCAAAAATGAAATAACTCACAAGCAGGCAAAGACATTTACATACCTTGAACAAAGGAATTCTTTGGGCAAAATAGGGATTTTTAATTATTGCTTGGTTTTTGTCATGTGGGATTCTCATCTCTGGCTCTCTGGTGGGAGCTGGAGGAGCTTGGAGACTTTGAAGGTTCCTACATTTTTGGTATTGCTATGCAGTTTTACAAGCTGAATGCAAAATGCTGTCTGAACACAAATCCAGCTGAGAATCTGAACCAGAATTCTCAAAAAATGCAATTCTGGAAGCAGGCAGACAGCACATACAGCAGTCCAATGGCAACAGGGTGAGCAAGGGGTACCTCTTAGGCTCATCCTAACTTTAACTCAAAGTGGGTCATTATTGCCAGGCCTTCATTATAATGTCTAATACTTCAGGCTTCCTGGCATTGTGGCAGGGCTTGGACCTCAATCCCTTTATTTATGCCATTAAGTGTGCTTAATGGCATAAATAAAGGCAACAGAAGACAGGCTTAATCACAGTGACCTGCCAATAACCTCAGCTGTGACCTGGAGGGATCCCCAGTTTTGGCGTAGGTTAAGGGTCTCATCTCATTTAGAACCTTAAGCTGGATTTGAACTGTAGCCCCAGAAGTAAAAAAGCCAGCGTTTTTATCTGGGAAGCCACATGGCTCTGGCTTCCTGAATGGTACTTGTGACATCCCAGTATTGGCAAACCAGGGACACGTTAACTGTGTGCTCTGTTTTCTGCCCTTAATTATGGCCAGCCAGTCTGAGTTTTCTTTCCTTTCCTTTTTTTTTTTTTTTTAAAGGATTTGAGTGACAAAGTGACTATGCATATCATTCCACATTTGAACTGTAAGACTTCAGTATTTCTACCTCTAGTGTGTAATTGGATCAGCTGCCAGTTACAGAAAGGAGCTGGGTGAGTATTAAGTGTGTGGAAAATGAAGAAGAGTCCAAGTGTGAAGGGGAGGAATAATTTGACAAAGCCTGCAGTGAGCTGTACGTGGTTTTCCCGTTCCAAAATGGAGTAGGTTTTGAAGCGCATGAGAAAAAACTGGCTTTGATTTATTAGCTCTGGTTCACAGAATGCCAGCCACAATCTTGGAGCAACTCAAGACATATGGAAAACCACAGTCCCTGCCCCAAGGAACTCACAATACCCACATTATCATACTGAGGATGGAGCAGTGCCAACCTGAAAAACACTCTGCTTTTCTCTGGGTCTTGAACAACCTTGTCAGGCCCTCACAAAGCTGCTGCCAGGGCTGGGGCTTGGTGTGCCCATGGTGTGGTGGCCCTCAAACCATCACACCCAGTGCTCTTTTGTAGGTGCCCACTGTAACACTGCCTCACTTGAATCTGGAGCCTCTCAAAGGAATTAAGATGATGTAAATATGAAACAGTCTAGAAGCAACCACAAAAATCCATGGTACATATCAGCCCTTTAAAAAGGTGAAATAGGTGAATGTGCAGTCAGAAAGTGACAGCTTTTCTGTCAGGACAAGAAAGTTGGGTTCCAACACTAAGCACAGGTAAGGCTTAGGATCACACAGACAGAAACAGTTCTTTATCCAGAAAGTGTTCCACCATTTATATCTTCAGGAAGTGCAAGCAAAATCCCCTCAGGTAAGAATTGGGAGTCTGTAGGTTCCTGGTCAAACTCTCCTGGTGGGACCCAGAACATCCTTCACTTTGCACTCAAAGATGCAACTCAAGACAACAATCTAATCATGAGGTGGCCAATGGAGAGGATTAGGAGAGAGACCTGCAGCCTGAGAGCAACGAGAAGGTCACAACATCCAGAGCAGCTCATGAAAAAAGCAGAAGAAATGGCAATTACCTGGAAATTCCCTGACAGTTGTCCCTCAGCTCCAGAAATGCTCCATAAAATCCAGCATGCTGATCTGTAAGGAGTAAGCAAGAAAAATTTATTAGTGATGGAAACAAAAATTACAGATGTGTCAGGTGACTGCCCAGTGCTGCCCAAAAGGTGGAGAGACCAAAAACCAATTGAGATTTTCTACTGCCCAACTCTAGGGGGCTGCACCTGGTGGTTTGCTGCCCATAGGGCCAAACTGATGTCCTGGGATTTGGAAATTCCTCTGCTCTGCCTTCAGCAGCAGCCACTAACTGAGAGGAGCAGTGTCCTGAAGGGTCCCAAGGTTATGGCCATGGAGTCCTGTCCTTTCTGGTATAAAAGCCCTGCAGACAAGTTGATCAGGCAAAAACACAACAAAAAACCATCTCAAAATAATTTCTCTCTGACTCTCCAAGGGGGTTAGGGCATTAAGACAGAATGCCCTGCCTCAAAGGAAGTCAAGATTGGATCAGAACATCTCAGAGAGATAGAGAAGGAGAGATGGCAAGAGGCAGCAGTGTAAAGGTTTTATCAGCATGAGCTGGGGATGACCACATTACTCATAGGTCACTGTGCTTTCCAGCTGACTAGCAACAGATGAAATAAGGAAAACAACAGCCTCTGGATTTCCAGGTAGCAGCTGCAGCCAAGGCTGCCTTTTCAGCTGCCCTTTTAGCATGGAATATGCAGGCACTGCTCAGAAACCGCCTGACTTCCCATGCAAAAGGGAACCTGAGGGCCCACTGTCAAGAAGAACACCAAGGTAACATTTGTGTTATCAGAGGGAGGAAGCCTTCAAATGCAAGGCACCCGGTTTTCTCTACAGCTTGCATACTTCCAGTGTTTCCTAAGACTGAACCAGATGTACCTCAGAGATCCTTGTGGATCTCCAGCAGGAAGGCACCAGGGATGGGTGCATTTATTATCCTGATGTCAATTCACAACTGCTACACCAGAGAACAGGTGCAGTTCTTCATGTCCCACAGCAGCAGCCACAACACAGACTTCGTTACCTAACAAAGATGTTAGGTATCAAATAAATCAAATAAAGATCCTTTATTTATAGCAAAGTGATGCCATTCTGCCAGGCTTTGCACAGAGATTTTGTCACAGACCGCTCGCGTTCCTGGAAGGTGCCATCTAATCGGATACACATCCCAAGATCCCAACAGCTGAGGGGAAAATCTCACTGCCATTCCTGACACTTCTCAAATTAGCAAGAGCTTATAACCATAAGGACTTGTGGGATCCCTCTCCTGCCAGGGCTGGATGCACAGGGGTAAGGTAATGCCCTCCTGCTCTCTGCTGAATTCTCTCACCCCGCACTGCGTTGTTGTTTCCTGCGCTCAGAGATCTCCTACTTGTGTTTGAACTCTCTGAACACTCTTCAGCTCCACACAAGGAGCCAGAGGCCTTGGTAACCTTCTACCCCAGCAGTTCTTTTCCTGCAGTCGGGAAATTAGCTCTCTTTTTTTGTTTGCCTTTTTATTTTAATTGAAAATAACTAGGGGAATTCCCCCTTCCTGTGCCTGGTTTCATACAGGGCTCTGATGGCAGTGGTTTGTGACAGCAGCAGAAAAACCCAAGCCATGCCACTCACAAACAACAATGCCACAATTTGTGTAGGGTTTTATGTCAATATTTTGATAACTTCAGCTATTCCACATTCTTTCTGGTATTGAAATATCTAGAAAACAATTTGTGCTTCAAGTATTTCAGAAAGCATCACAATGGGCCTGTGTGAACACCTCTTCCCAAAAGAACTCAAATCAGGTTAAATTCTGAGACTTGATTTTCAGCTGATGTAAAAACACTTGAAGATAATGTAAATACTGGTATGACAGTTTTCACTCTGAAATGTCCTGGCCCCTCTGTTTCCTCCATGTGAGCAGAGGGAACAGGTACCAGCAGGGAAGGTTTCATGCCTCTGCCTCCCTGGTGTTGCTTTGCACCAGGAGCTGATTTTACACCAGCAGGATTTCTTTTTCCTTCATTCAAGAAACTGTCTTTTTAAAAAAAATGTAATCAACAAGATGACTTCCCTTTCTGTTGTCCAGCTTTGGAAGAGGAGCCTGATTTATATTTTCAGCTAAAAATCCTCCCAAAATCATGAGAGGATATAGTGGGAAAGGGATTAGAGGGGAAAGTAAGTGGCACCTCTAATACGTTTTACCAGGATATGGGAAGGAGATAAATATGAGACAGACAAACAAGAAAGTTTAGGAAAGAAGGGGGAAAACACATGAAAGGTGTAGTAATAAAGGAACCCCATTAGTAGGAACAACTGGAGGCGAAAAGAGGACTGATGGATGGCTGGGCTAGCGTGAGTGAGGAAGGGTAAAACAAACCTTTCCAAAGCATGAAAAAAATAAACCAAATAGCATTACAAAAAACCAAAAAACAAACTAGTGAGAGAAAAAAAAAAAGAAAAAAAAAAAAAAAGAAGACAAAACAGACAGGGAGGATTTCTAAGAGCACAAAAGCAGAGGTCAGTGCCCCGTGGTCATTTCCTAAGAAAGGAGGAAGCAGAAGTGAAGGAAAATACCTAAATATGAAAGACTCCTTATAAACAAAGGGCACATTGACTGCTAGCCCATGATTTTTTTGAAGGTTTGCTATCAGCATATCTCCAATGATAAATGCCTTCGCATGATGCCAGCTCTCTGCAGGCACAACTGCAGCAAATCAGTTCTGCCAGGCTGCAGATGAAGTGACAAGGAGTCACTTCCCCCATTCCACGTGGCACGCCCTGGTCCATGCACAGGCTGAGGATAAATCCTCAGGAAAGGAGCACAGGGCAGCAGTGTCCAGCAGAACAGAGGAGGAGAACACAAATGGGGAACTAAACTGGCAGCCTGGAGCTTCATTCCAACAATGATTACACAGGTCCATCTCTGACCAAGGCTCCTCATTCCACACCCTGCTCCAATTGCTCCTTTTTCTGTCTTAGGCACTGGTTTGTCTAGGCAGAAAAAATACTTCTAGATTGTTCTTGCCACACCCACCAAAAGTGAAAATTGCCAACAGCATCCTCTGAATGGCAATGGCATCCACAAAAAGAGTGGAATGACACGAACATGTTCAGGAGCTGTTTGGTGACTGCTGAGCCCAGGCTGGTGCCCTGTCACGACAGTAACCTTGTGTCATTCCTTAAACCCCCTAAGCTCAAAGTAATACCCCAAACTGCCTTCTGAGTGCCTGGAGCCCAGCTCCAAGCTCAGTTTTCCATGGAGAGAGGAGCACCTGAGCCACCCCACTGACCTGAAGAGCCATGGTAGGGATGTGCAGGCCCAGTGCTGGGCAGGGATGGGGTTCCATGGAAGAATAGTGGATGGAAAGGCTCCATTTTAAAAGTAAAGATGTATGGGTGACCCTCAGAATTTGTGTAGAAGCTTGATGGGGTAAAAGTTGTGCCCACTGATGTGTTCCTGAGCAATCCCCAGGCATTATCCTGCAGGTGGGCAAATGCTGCTCTCCCTCCCATCCCATCAGTGGGGTTCTGTGATTTACACTAATAATTTCAAAGGCAATATTCTACCTATTGATCAGAGTCCCATTCTGGGAGGGAGAGATTCAGACTGACTCTGAAAGCTGAATGTGCAATGTGTGTGTGCACACTGACTTGCCAAAAAAGAGCCACAGACATCCCTCTCTTTATCAGTAAAATCCAGTTAGATCCCGTGGTATCACCAAAAGACAACAGTCTGGCCCCAAAGCCTCCATTCCACAAACTCCCACATTGTGCTGCCACAAAGAGGAGGATGAGCAGATCTTATCCAGATCCTACAGCCTTTACTTAGACCTCAATTGCCATGGAAGTATTGCCTTAACTCACCACAGCATCTTCACCACGAGTACTTCAGTCCATATCACCTCTGCCAAAATAAACTGCTTTGGTTTGGGGGGGGTTTGGTTTGCTTGTTTTGTGGATGGGGTGGGGGGAAAAAATGCAGGTTAATTTTTTTAATAATAAAAAATGCAGATAGAAATCCACTCTTTTTTTTTTTTTTTTTTCTGGAACAGACAGCTGAGAAACACAGAACAGCCTTTTTCTGTCCCCACACACCCTTGCTCTGTGCACTACCCCTGCTTTAAGATTAACTGTCAGTCTGTGCTACCCTTGAGGCCAGACGTTCTTTGAATTTGGTTATTATATCAAGGTGCATTTGTGCTTCTAAATGGGCAGCTGTACTGTAAATGGAGCACAAAAGAGCAAAATTCAGCCTGCTCCAGCGTGGGTCCAAAGCCCCGCATGTCTGTGATGCTGTAGCCTTTTGTTTCAAATGCAGATAGATAAACTACAGCCTTTTTTCCATGACGGTTATAATGCAGAATATGAAAAACTCTTGGGATGGTTTAAGCTGCAGGGTATTCTCCCAGAGTTCTGTCCAAAAATAATCTAGTAAAAATGTGGACAGAGAACCATCGACCTCTGCTTTCCCCCGAACATATGCAGCTCTGATCAGTCTGGTATTTCAAGAAAAACAAGGTCCTGAACCCTAATCCTCAGACACATAACAAAGCGCACTTCACAGCTGTGATGCACAGCTACTATCAGCTCCGAGGCCTGAGTGGGTCCCAAGACAATGCCTCCTTTATCACCCAGAGGACAAATATCTAGACAGCAATATTTTCTGCTTGAATGCTTCAAGCATCTCTCGCAACTCCTGACTGAAAGAGAAAACTGAGCTGAGAGTGTTTGCTGAGTGATTATTTTAATTTACTACTTGATGTAAATCTAAATGAACTGACATCCAGCTTGAGATGGACAGAAAACAATCATTGTGAAAAAAGAAAGAAGGCTAATATTACAATATCATTTGAGTAGCACAGGTTTAGGCAACTTTAGCAGTGGCAATGTAATAGATAGCGAGGCACGGTTTGCATTTCCTTTTCTTCACTCAATTACCATAATAAGTTCTGTAATTTTAGGGCTGTTTATTTATCAGGCGACGATAACAAAGACGCTCAGAACACGGAGTGTGAATGCAATAGTACAAAGCAGCCCAGTGACGGCCCTTGCATGCAGAGGGATTGCTGATTCCC